ACTTCCAAAAGGCAAGAAACTGAATTTCATTTGAAGTATTCATTCCTGAACGTATACAAATCATTAGAAAAACTACAAAAGAAAAAGTCCCATTACAACGAGAAATTAGGAAGTATCTATTTGAATAATACAAATATTTTGTGCATCATAAAAATTACAATATTTTTACCTTGCTCTGGAATAAAACCTTGTAGTGATACTCCTAAGAGGAAATCTGAAACGACTGGCACCTTCATGACTGAAGATCGTAAAAACTCGAAAGCATAACCGCACTTTGTTCATCTTTCCATGACCTCTGTCTTTAGGTGCTACCGTAATTTTAAAAACGGTTAAGTTGCGTTTCAAACATTTTACCAATAACTGAATAATACCCAGTTCAGGATATAGCATCTTCATCTGCGTTCTCCATTACCACTTCTCCATTCATGTCGCAAAGCTCAGAACACCTGTATGTATATTTAATTCATAGATATCTTGTAAAAAATTTTAGACTCAATGTCCATAATAAATCAATCCAACGTTCTGTTGATATCATCCAAATATATTATATCAGCGTTATGTACTAACGAAAAAATTCCCATATCTAAGCTAATTTATCCAGACTCTTAATTCTACGAATAAACATCAGTTAGTAAAATAAAATTTACTCAGGAGGACGTCTCAAGTAAATCCAACTAATTTGAATAAATGAACATTTATAAAGATTTAAATTTTTCATAGCATTTATGTTTGATAATTGGAAAGCACAAAGGATAAATTGATTTTTTCTGCTTAAGCGTCCTCATCAATAAATTTATTATTCAGAAAAAGGCGAGAGAAAAAATGTCGGTAAGTGAAATTAGCATTCATGACCGGAGCAGATCATTTGATAACAGCATCGTTTGACTTAAGACTCTCAGTAATGGATGTCCGCGTAAAGAAAGATGCATAGCTATCAACTGAACATCATCTTGTTCTTGGCACGCTGCACTGTAAGAAATGGAGTACCGTACGAAGATCTGGTGGCAGAAGCTACCATAGAAACAAATGGGAAACATTAGCTTCGGTGTACATGAGAGCGAAATTCGCAAACAGCATCGTGTGACGGTTTTAACAGATCCCAAATGATGATCGCTGATGTTGAAACCGAAGAGCAGCTCTGTAAAAGCGGCACACTCGATGCTATCGCCGAATGCTGCGGATGTAAATGGGTTGCCCTGTCACCTGGAAGTCAAAAAAGAACTTGCTGGTCGACAGGAGAGGGCCAACTGGTAGATAAGGAGAAGAAGGCAGCGTTCAATAAATCGCATGGAAACAAAGAGCAATCTTCTTGCGTGCAATATGTCGAGGCACGCAAGATGGCAACGAAAGCAGTGGAGAAAGCCAAAGCTGATTCCTGGGAGAAGTTCGGTGAGGTGCTGAAGTCGAATTTTCATATGGCAAACAAAGTATTCTGGAGGACCGTCTGACGGCTACGAGGTGAAAAGAGGAGCAGTCTGAGAATTTTAAAGGACAGGTCTGGAACTCTCTTACCAAAAAAGATAACATTCTTCGGCAATGGAAAGAGTACTTTGAGGATTTCCTTGACCCCGAGCAAAGGCAGAAAGACTCGACTGTAGAGCAGCAGGAAACTGGAAACTGATACTTCTATCTCTGTGTATCAAATTGCACAACCTGTGAAAATCTTGAAAAATGGAAAGGCTGCCAGAATTGACGAAATTCACCCTGAAATGCTGAAAGCTTTAGGCAAACGAGCCATGTGCTGGCTTACTCGTTTGTATCAATCTGGGAAGACACGTGCGGACTGGAGAACGGGAGTTATTGCACCCGTATTCAAGAAGGGAGACCACAAGAAATGCTCCAATTATATGGGAATAACGTTATTGAGCCTCCCAAGTAAAGTCTACGCTCAGGTGCTAAAAAGGAGGTGCCGTGAAATAGTTGACTTCAAGGTCGAAGAAGAGCAGTGTTGCTTCCGGCCCGGTCGAAGTACCTCTGACCATATATTAGCAATAGATAAGTAAGTGCTAAATAGCACAGTGGATTCTTCGAGTAAGTTTTTCTTACAAGAAAGGGTATCTCGTACTGCCAGAAATTTTATGCGATCTTTTCACTCAAAATGAGGTTCAGTAACTCTTCATCACGATGACTGAACGTGAGAATGTTCCACGTTGTCTGTTTCCAGAGAGACATCTATCATTATTTGAGCTGAAAAGATTATTATTGACATGTAAATGCGTTGATGCGGTTACAGATAACGTTTGCATTGTTCTTGGTGTTTCGTATCGTACTGGTTCATTCGACAGTTTTTTGCATATTCAACTGGAGATCATTAGTGAGAAAGTATTATCATATATTTGAGAACTGCTTGAATTTTTCCGTCCTGAGATATTTCTGAAATGTTGATACAACCGTGCCATCAGCGTATTTTATGCGTTTAAGTAAGCTTGGAAGTCATGGATGAAGATTCCGAAGCGCGTCTTGGAAAGGACGAATCTTAAAACTGCGCTGAGGTTGTTGATAAAGTGGCTAGAAGTTTACTTGCCAATTTTTTGAACTAGTGGCAGCAAGAATAAGGATGAGTCAACTGAGTCATAGCTAGCAGGTGCAAAGAGCGATTTAATACCTGACCTACAGTCGAAGAATAGAAACCTTAGCATCGATTTTTTTCGTCTGCAATATGGTTTATTAAACGAGCAATCGCATCGTTGATTTCTATTCTTCTTTCTGTAGGCAAACAGGTATAAGTCAAAGACGTTGACGTGAAATCACTGCGTAAGTTGTTATATGACGTTCGATAAACGGGAAGTGTTGACGTCACGACTGTCGACGATAATCCTTACGATCTATAGTTCTTATCCATTCTTTGGCAAGGGGACAAACGCTTCGCGTCAGTCATGTGTGCCAGATTTTGTGCTTGTACACCGATTTTGTCGAAACCAGCTAAGCAGTTTGAACAGAGGCGGTCCAAACATGAACCTTCGTCAGCCGTATAAAACTGTACTGGTGAACGGTCATTGGCGGCACCAGGAGCAATAAATTTGAAACCGACTGGTTGATCAGGATTGAACCGCATGAAATATCCGTTGGATTCACCATGATCGACTTGAGATACAAAATGGCATTCCTTGCATTGCATATAGATGTTGTTTCACAAAAAGTTCTGCGATTATACCTAACTGGCCTTCCCATATACGATGTAAACAAGAGCGGTGCATTTGCAGATATTAAATCCCGCATGAACTGTTAATTTAATGTCCAGGTATGAAGGTAGACGAACTATACAAAAAAGTCTGGCTGTCACCTAGGCACTTTTCAAGCATAGTTTTAATT